AAATGCATTTGGGCTGTTCTCTACCAAGTCAGATGGCTCGCAGAAGACAGGCTGCTTGGTGTCCTGCCTGGCTGACTCTACTGTGGCTCACAGACTGCTCATGAGGACTCAGGCAATGAAACCAGAGATACCCTAGGCTCAGAAAGCGATGTGCGCCAACCCAGTGGTTCATGGGACCCATGAACATAGCACAGTTTACGTCACATGTGTGTGCTACCTTCTGTCTCTCATAACCAAACTCGGATGGCCCCAAACCATAAAAGCATTCTTTTCAGCTTGCTTGTCCACAGAGAGCAGTTTCACACGTAGGCATCAGTGGTTTGGCACATTTAAGAAGGTGGGGGTGGGAAGTGAAGGTGGGGGAAGTCTGTTTTATTTTCCCAGGACTCAAAAGTGATGAGACAAGATCAGCTGAAAACGTAGCTTTCAGAAAAGAAGTATACTAAAGTCAGCTTATGTCATGAGAATGTATGTTGGATTTGGGAGCTTGGTTCATGCTGTGGGGGACTCTGCCTCTTTGGGTCTTGTCTTGTTCAGCTCCGCCCTCATTAAGTGCCGAATGCTGCTGGCATCTGCCGTTCATGACATTCCCTCATGCTCCCTGGAATGCTTGAACAACGTGTGTTCCCCCTGGCCCAGCAGTGCAGATGGAGAAGCCTTGCGTATGAGATGGGGTTAGGAAGTGCTGACCAGGTTCAAACTGGAGTCACTGAATTATCTTAGGTAGTCAGCTCTCTAAGTGCCCTCACAGTTAGTGTCTTAGTTGGGGTTTCTGTTGTGACAAAACACCATGACCAAAAGAAACTTAGGGAGGAGAGGGTTTATTTCACCTTGTATCTACCTTAAAAATCCATCACAGAAGAAACGGAAGCAGGGGCTGTAGAGGAACACCTTACTCAGTTGCTTCCCGGGAATGGAATCATCCCCCCTGAGCTGGGACTGGGACTTGACTTGGCAAAGCACTAGCCAGCACATATAGCGTATTTAAGGGTTTGTCTGTTCATACCCCCCCCCCACCCGGGTGGTTTTGTTGTGGTTGTGGAGATATTTTTCAACTTCATTCTGAAATAACTGAGTTGGTTTTAGGAGCATTGCCACAAAACTGGGTGCAAATCCAGTCAGTAGACTGACGGGATGTGAAGGCTCCCACATGCCGAGTATTAACCTTTCGTTCTCCCATAAAATTGCACGGTGGTCACTTTACCTTACTCGAATCTTGTCAGATCTCACGGCCTTTCTTAGTTTCTAGTTGACATTATAACAGGTCCTGGCTCTATTGGAGGAAACCCCCACACATTGATACCCTTTAATCACAACAGTTTAGATCGTATTCTAAGTGTAAGGAATATTTTTGGTTAAACATCACTTATGTTACAGATGTGATTAGTGGCAAAATTAAGTGATCTGCCCCCAGAGCTCCCAAGATTCAAGCACACTCCACCTAAACGAGTTGGCTCGAATATATTTCAGAGCTATCAAATTTGTTTGACGTTTTTCTCTTAAACCTGCAGAGCTCCAGCTGGAAGATGACAGTCAGAGCAAGTCTCAGAGGTGTTAACTATAACAGCCCTTCATCTTCAGGGGGCGGGGGTACGTGAAAGAATTCGATTTTAAAATGACTGACATTAATAATGTACGACACGTTCAAACTTTTATTAGAACTCGGTCTTTGGTGCATGTAATTTTACTCAGGAAAGTTAAAATGTGCCTATTATCATCATAAAAATGTAGCTCAGGACCTTAGAGCTTGCACCTGGTGGCAAGAAAAAAAAAAAAAGTCACTAAAATGGAAAGTGTAGTTCACCTTTAAATCCAGCTCGGCCATTTGGTTCTGCTCACAGAACCAAAATAAATAAAAACACAATTCCACAGTGCACATTATATCAAGTACAGGGGACTGTACAGGTACAATCTGTGGTTCGTCTTCCCTTAGGCCTCTAGAGAGGTAGCATCGTTAGGAGCTTGGCCACCTAATACAGCTGGCAAACCTTACCCACCTTGTATAGCTGTGTGCCAGGAAGGGCTGCTGCCTGGCCTGGGACAACTTGGCTGGTTCAGTCAGACCTTCTGAGGTTCTGAAACCTACATCTATTGTTGATCATCCTCCTGCCTAGGAAACTGCCTTGTAGCTGCTCAGAGGTGCTGTAGGGAGGAAACATCAGGGGCATAGGCATTTGCCTCTTAGTCTTCTTGGCAGGATATGATAGAACTTAGGCTTACAGCCCACACAACAGACACTGAAGAAATGCTGGCCAGGCTGCTTTGGCCTGAGTATCTGTGTTGTGTCTCCTTTGATGTGTTCAAGCCTCATCCCCTCCCCCCCCTTGGGAGGTGTAGGACCTCTGAGAGGCCTTGAAAATGGCAGACCGGTGTCCTTTTTAAAGAGGCATTAGGAAAACCCGCTTTCCCCTTTCCACCAGGTGAGGACATTGCCGGGAGGGGGGGGGGGACCTCACCCAGTCTGTCAGTTCTGTGATTTTTAGACTTCCAGCTTCCAGAACTTAGGAGACAAATTTATGTATTATATATGGTATTATATAGTAGCAGTTTATTGTACATGTGGGCCTCTAAGGTTTCTTAGTTGCGAATGCCAGAGCTTCATCTTTCTGTTGGAAGAAGTAAACACAGGACGCTGGAAATGGTATGTAAGTGTTCTGCTCCCTTCAGCCCAATACCGTACATACTATTATGGTAATAGATTTCAGAAGGTTGAGAATTTTCTCTGAGCACAGATCTTCAATGTAGATGTCAAAATCTCATTCCTAAGACCTAGAAAACAACGTCTTGCAAGTGTTTTGTTTGGGTTTCGATAGGATTTTCTCTTCCTTCTTTGTTGTTTTTTTCCCCCCATGCCAAAGTGTTTCAGTTTATGCATTATTGAACAGGCTGTAGGTAAAGCCATTACTTTGCATAAACGTGATGCTTTACCTGACACAACATACAGCTTGCTAGCAGCTGGAAAGTTTCTAATGGGCTCGTTCTGTGACAGCATACCCAGCTGCAAAGCACACACCCTCGCATCAGTTCTGTGAGGGATGATTTTTATGGTTAGCATGAGAATTGGAAAGGGGGCTATGTTGTTGAACTCTCATGCAGAGTTTGGTAGAGATGTACCATGTACACTATGTCTGCGTTAGTATAAGATGCCAGGTACTAGGCATGTTTGTTCTGGGTGGGATGTACTGGGGACATCTGGAGGAACCCCACTGCCCGGGTGCCTGCGTCAGGAGTTGGTTGTTGGGACACTAGTGAGAAGGATCCCAAAGATGGCGCTAGACGGTCCCTACGTGTGGTGTAGATGGGGTGAGCAGACACTCTGGTTAGTAGGGGTTCTTGTCTGCCATGTTTACGTGGGTCTGCTACTATTTATAGCTGGTAAATGTGGCTTGGGTCCTTGAGAAATGGGTGTGGCGGCTTACCTCCCTCATTGAGAAAATATGTCAGATTCTGGGAGGAAAGTCATAGTACTGTGCTAAAATAATGAACATATATTGCAGTTGCAATTGTGTTTCTGTTACAAGCAGAGGAAATAGGTGGTGTGAGTTTAATGAGAGAGGAGATGAAGTAAAAGACACTCTGGGAATGTGCACACAGAGATCAAGGGTGTGGGACAACCGAAGTATTCCTTGTCCACCTGAGTGGCCTTGTCACAGCCTCAGGGCAGCCAAGGCCGGAAGAGCTGGCTGGGAGTTATTCCAAGATAGCCTGAACCTGCCATTGCAGTTTCTATTAGGTCCTCACACAGGAGGTAACACCATCTTGCTATGGGTGCCCAGCTCTCTGCTGCTCCCAACCCCAGGTCCTCAGCAGTAGAGAGGGGGACAGATTAAAGCTCACTGTGCCAGTACTCAGGGTTTCTTGTCCCTCTATTCCAAATGACCCTAGCTCTACCATTGGGCGGGTCCAGGGCAAGGAGAGAAGTGGGGAAAGGTGGGGAGTTGGGCCCCTTTCTCGGCACGGCTTTCCCGTGCACACTCTGCCCATCCAGCTCACCCTGTATTCACGCTACTTCTCCTATCTTAAAATCTATCTCGGGGCTCTGCCTACTTCTAACTGGAGACTCAGGGACTGTTTTCATTTGTACCATAAAAGGAGCCACTGACACCCCAGTTTGCTCTGACAGAGCTGGTCTATTTATTATGCATTAAATACGCTGTGGTTGGGTGCATTGATTGATCTGTTCCGCTTCACTGTCTGGGAATGTCCATCTAGTTCCTCCATCTCTCCCAATCTTGGATTCCCTGCTTGCTTGGGGAGGAAGGTGAGGGTTGGGATAGCATCCGTGGCCAGGATACTGACACACCCACCACTTGCAGGTTACCCTTCACAATCTTCAGAGCCCTGCCTCGGACTTAGTATGTCAGCGGATCTTTGAAAAGCCAGTCCAGTGTTCTGTTAGCAAAGATGCATTGCAAGTAGGGAAGGAAATCAGAAGCGCCAGCATGCAGACAGGTAATAGGAGGGTAGTTCGTCAGGAGAGCAATGAAGAGGGGGTCTTAGAGCAGAGTTACAAACTTCTGGAGGGAGGTAAGTGGATGCAGGGCAGGATACCGGCCCTTCTGGTGGTGACCTGGCCCACTGTAGAATTGTCACGGGTCTTTACATTCATTTAGTCCAACTTCTTACCCCATGCATAATTGCAGGTACCTCTCTATGCCTTCTTCTTCTTCTTCTTCTTATTGTTGTTGTTTAAGTCCTGAGCCCCAGAGGTTCTCTAAAACTGGCCATCCTTCCAGAAGAATTTTTCTCTGTTCTTATAGACCTACTGGCACTTATTAATGGGTAAGTATCAGCTTTTAGTAGCTTCGTATCTGTGCCGCACAGCTGTATCATTTTCATTTCCAGCTGGTAACTGTAGTTTATAACCGATCTTTGTAACCCTCTGGTGTGGGGGGGGAGGGGAGGCGGGAATAAACTTCCACACCCTAGTAGCGTAGGAATGGGCATGATGTTACAACATGTGCCCAGTGCCAACTGAGCCCTCTGTCATGTCTTCACAGGCCTCGGAAAGACGCGCAGGAAGCCAAGCGCTCGGGATGCATCCCCAACGCCCAGCACTGATGCGGAGTACCCGGCCAATGGCAGCGGTGCTGACCGCATCTATGACCTCAACATCCCCGCTTTCGTCAAGTTCGCCTACGTAGCAGAACGAGAAGATGAGCTGTCCCTGGTGAAGGGCTCCCGTGTCACAGTCATGGAGAAATGCAGTGATGGCTGGTGGCGCGGCAGCTTCAACGGGCAGATCGGCTGGTTCCCCTCCAACTACGTGCTGGAGGAGGCAGATGAGGCTGCAGCCGAGGCCCCCAGCTTCCTGAGCCTCCGTCGGGGCGCCGCGCTGAGCAATGGGCAAGGTGCACGGGTGCTGCACGTGGTCCAGACGCTGTACCCCTTCAGCTCAGTCACTGAGGAGGAGCTTAGCTTTGAGAAGGGGGAGACCATGGAGGTGATTGAGAAGCCCGAGAACGACCCTGAGTGGTGGAAATGCAAAAATGCCCGGGGCCAGGTGGGCCTGGTCCCCAAGAACTACGTGGTGGTCCTCAGTGATGGGCCCGCAATGCACCCGGCGCACACCCCGCAGATCAGCTACACCGGGCCCTCAGCCAGCGGGCGATTCGCTGGTCGTGAGTGGTACTATGGCAACGTGACACGGCACCAGGCCGAGTGCGCGCTCAATGAGCGGGGCGTCGAGGGCGACTTTCTCATTAGGGACAGCGAGTCCTCGGTAAGTGCCCGGATGCCCCTCTGCTGGGGCCACACTGCCAGGAGAAAGTTAAGTGTACAGTTCCCTCGCCTGCAGGTTCAGGGACTCGCGCAATGATGATGTTCAATGATCTCACAGTTCATTTGCCTGATCCAACATTGTTAAATATCTTGCCAAGCCTTACTTACAAGTTAGACTTAATCGTGGACAAAACCAAAAAAAAAAAATTATTTTTAGGGTTCTCATCTACCACGGTTTCAGGTAACCACTGCGGTTCTTGGAACCTCCCTCAGAAAGAACCACCCACGTGGGTGACGGGACTGGTGTGCCATTCTCTTGCCTATTCACTGACATTATGTGAAATGGCACAGTGGTATTTGAGGGCACGTACCAAGGTAGGTGAATACTATGTTGGCGCAGGGTCAGTTGCTCCCAACTTAACTAAGTCTTGGTTGGGTAGACTGAGGCCATTCATTTTCCTGGGTATGAGGAGATGTGGACAGTGCCTTTCAGCTCTCGTGGGTGGTTTTAGTCCTGTAGGGTTCTCCCCGTTTCCAATTTAAAGATTCAGTCTTCCTGTTCCTCCCTGTGTGGAAGGCCCCTTTGATTACTGCTTACATCTGTGCAAGCAACGCCAGTTCTCAGCAGGTGCTGGGTTTCCAATGTAGCCTTTTGTTGCTGTTTGTCAACCACATAATCCCAAGGCCACGGAAAAGCTCCTAAAGTACTTACAAATGGGATCCAACAGAAGCCTGGAGTGCTGAGGGAAAGGAGGAAATGGGGAATAAGGCCACCTGTGTGGCACAGCAGGGGGCTGGTTGTGGGTGGGGGCTTATGCTGTTCTGTGTGTGCCTCCTGGGAATAACCCATTTTGGACATATCTTCCCAGTGACTCTCCTAAATCTGTAAGCAAGAATTTAGTCTGCTGTGCTCAAGTGTTAAACGACTCTGGTAGTCTTTTCGTTTCATGTTTTAAGTGCACAGGGTAAGAGCAGAGGACAAGTCGCTAGCACAGTGAGCAGTGTGCCCTCCTGCCCCACGGGACGGATCTGAGAGATGAGGTCACAGCCCCTTCTGGAGAGCGGCTACTGAAGTTTGTTCTTTATAGCAGAAAGGGCATGGAACTAGTGGAAACCGAATCCCTCTATGATGTCAGCAGCCTTTCAAGGCCAGCTTCAACCTTAGATGTTCTCAGGCAGGACCCGGAATGCCGACAACGTCTGAAATCTGAATACTGGGGTGTCCCAATCGAGCCCAGGGTTTATCGTTGCTGGCAGGACTTCACATGGCGTTGTCCTCACGCATTGGAGGTTGTGTACATGGCTGCCTTTAGATCACATTCTGGGCCTGTGAGGAATCAAGGACAGCGGTGTGTCTCACACTGGAGAATAGAAACAGGGAAGGCTCTGAAAACCCAATCAGAGTGCTTGCAAGCCAGAAGATAGAAATTCGAAATGGTTTCTTGGGAGAGAAGGGGGCAAGAATTACATAGTGGGGAGGCCCCTGCCTTATCTATTGACGTATGAGTAAAAGGTCCGCTGGGGTTTCTAGTCCGAAAAAGACCTGTTAATTTTCAGTGTCCACTTCAGCAACCTTCTTCCTGCTGATGGAGGCGTTGATTATTTACAAGTTGTTTTTAACCCCTTTTATGGACATCCCTTATTTTGACTAACTTAAGAAGCTGAGCTCAGACAGGCTTTGGTTGCCAGGGCCATGTGGGGCCAAAGAATGTGTATCATCTCCAGGGACACTGATTGGCCTGCAGCCTGTAACTGTGCATAGCTTCTGCCTCAAAGATCTTGGGGCCCTTAAACTGCGTGTCTGTGCCAAGAACCTGTTACGAGGGACTCCAGGTTGTGTTGTGTCTTATCCACTGATGAAAGGATGGGCATTTTCAGATTTACTGTCTCGTCTGTTCGCAGCTCCATTCTGTGACAGTGAAGGGCCTGTCCTGGTGGACACAGAAGTGACTCCCTTGTCTTTTTTGAGCCTTCTGCTGCCTCTCCTGTGTTGGGTGTATTTTTTCATGTTCTCTTGGGATTTTTTGGGTCAGAGCCTTGTTATCACAGCCAAGCGCAGGTCACATAGAGCATTAATTCACCATCTAATTGCATGTCACAGGATTGGGGGGGGGGAGGGGAGAGGGTATTCCCAGGGGCTTGACTCTACCACAGGCCTGAGGCAGATGTATTTGGGCCTGGAGCCTCACTCCTGAGCGGGAACGGTAGCTTCGGGGCACTCATTTTCCTGATGGGTGTCAATTAAAATCTATCTCATTGCAAGGTAAAGCAAGGCTCCGGTTGGTGTCCTGTCCTAATAAATGCCTACTGGTTTTCTCTTTTGAGGAGAGAGAGAGAGTCTATTGCAAGTAAAATGAACATTGCTTCCTCTGTGCCTTCCAGGATGGGCAAGTGGTAGGCATTTCAGAACTCCGTTGGAAGTGTGCTGGACTTGAGGAATGAGCAACCAAGCACTGTTTGACTGTCCTATCCGCAGCGTCGGTACCCACCACCCATTCCCTTCTGACCCCTTCTGCTCCCCTGTTCTCGCTTCTTATCTGTAATGGTCAGTTCATCTTGAAAGCTGAGGGAGGCACAGCATTGGTCCTTGTCACCCTCCACCTGTGAACTAACCTACCCGATGCAGAAAATCCGCAGAAGCCCTGCCTGTGCCGTACGGGCATCAAATCCTTATGTGTTTGCCTGCATAGGTTCTACGGGGATGTTTACAAGGCATTCAATTTCTGGCAAGCAGTACAAGCTGCCAATGATTTTTTTTTGGGGGGGGGGGTTCTGTTTTTGTTGTTGTTTTTCTTTCTCGGTTACTAGGTCCCTTGCCCTTGTAAAACGGTACTCAGAAGGTGTTGGGTGCAAAGTAACGAGGAATTCTGAAAAGGTAGAGCCACTGCTGGGTTGATACAGGACAGCATGGTCCAGAGTAGTGTAGGGGACATTCCCTCTGTAGACTTTTGATCCCAGAGAGCTAATAATTCCCCTGTGGAACATTATGCGCTATGATAATAGTTGCGTGCTAATGTCTGTCATGTTTTACTTTCATTTTAGATAGAGAAAAGCTCCCTTGATTTAAAAAAAAAAAAAAAAAAAAAAAAAAGATTTAGTATATTTACCACATGGAAAGTCAGGTGGTGTGCTTCATTTTTCCATTTAAAGCCTATTAATATTACCTGATTAGGAAATAAAAGCTAATGACTTATTTGTTTTCAAATTATACATTTTAAGTCATTTTGTGCATATGGATGTCTTATGTAGTGTATATGTCTGTGCTCCACATGTGTAGGGTGCTTTTGGAGGTCAGGAGAGGGTGTTGGAGCCCCTGGGACTAGAGTTACAGAGGGTTGTGAGCCACCATGCGATGCTGGGAATGGAACCTGGACCCTCTGAGAGATCAACAGTGCCTTTACCCTCCAAGTCATCTCTCCAGCCCAAGATCATTTTATTTCTTCTAGAAAGGTTTCTAGCCACAGTTTAAGAAAAATGAGTTGCAACATTTTAAGAATGTACTTCTCATAGAAATATTTCTAATGGCAATTTCATTGACCCATCTGTCTAGCTGGTGATTCTTACAGTGCAGCTCAGATCCAAATCCCCTCAGGAGCTGTGAATGTAGAGATGACTGCCCTCCCAACCCCTGTGCCGGTCCACTGATATTTGTTACCTTAGTTTGGGTTGGCCATGCCAGAGACAGAAGCAGGGTCTCTCCTGTGCATCTGTATTCATCTCTGCCTGTCTTAGAGGTAGATGTTGACCATCTACTACTGGGCATGAGGTTTACCCTTAAGTAAGTGTGGTTAATAACACCCAGTGAGACACCATTGGAGAAAACTAATTTTTTTTTCTTTCTCTCTTTTTTTTTTTTTTTTTTTTTTTTTCCTTTTGAAGTGGATGCCATTTGCAGATGATAGTGTCTTAGTTAGGGGCAGGACCATAACTAAGTGCCAACTTCCTCCTCTCAGTGGTAGGGCCTTGTCTGATTTGAACTTGTGCAGACCTTGTTCATGCTGTCACGGTTCATATTTGCATCAGTCCTGCTGTGTCCGGAAGACACTGTTTCCTTAGAGGATCCCCTCTGGCTTTTAAAACTGTTACTGCCTCTTCAGCTCAGCTCCCTGAGTGAGCCTGGGGGAGGGGGTGGGGTTGATGAAGTACTGAGTGTTCCAAAAATCTCTCACTCTGCGTATTGTCCAGTTGTAGGCCTCTGTATTAATTGCTGTCCACTGGTGATGGCTGAGCAAGGCACCGATGTGTGGGTCACTAGGAGTCATTTTGTTGCTATGGATCTCAGCTTTTAATATAGTTTCCTCATGTTGTGATGACCCCCAGCCATGAAATTAGTTTTGTTGCTTCTTCACAACAGTAGTATTGGCTACTGTTATGAATCATAACATGAATATTTTTGGAGATAGAGAGTTGCCAAAGGGGTCATGACCCACAGGTTGAGAACCACTGTAGTTTAACAGAACAATAGTATTTGGGTCCCCCCCCCCAGCTCATTTCCTACCCAATCACAAGTTCTTGGCCACCTAAAGCAGTGGCCAAGCATGGGTTGCATCTCAGGGAATGGACCTCAAACACAAGCAGTCGAATAGTTGGTTACTTTTGCAATGTTTGTACCACTGTTGTGCCAGCGTATCGCAGGCAGGTCACCATTGTAGATGGCAGGGTTTATAGCTGGATTGAAGGTGCAGAGTATCTTCCATAACCAGGAACACTACTCACTGGGTATAATGCCTCTAGTCAGGTTGCAGCTCAACTTCTCTGTGTTCAGTGTGATATGTAAACATCTCCTTCAGCAATAGGACCTTACCATTGATGATTAAACTTAAAAGGCTATACACGTGTTTCGATTGGGGTCCTTTTCTAATATCCGTGGCTCATAGCCTAACTGCTTGCCACATTTTTAAGGGAGCTAGAACCGTTGGAGGCAGACTGTATACTTCACTAGCCTATGGGACAAACATTTTTCCATTCTTATTCTGGGTAGCTTTACTTCTGAAAAGTCTTGGCTGGCTTGCAGGCTTGAGCCAGGTGCGTGTTCGATCCCCCTGCATGTCTCTTTCAGTGAGGGTGAGTACAAGGATACTTAACTGTATCTGCCTGACTTGGCATTGAAGCCTACGAACTGTTATGATGCCCCTCAGGGTGGTGAGTTGATTGTGTACGCTTGGTAAGATTCTACTCTGAGCCCAGCAGGGCTGTAGGGCTGCCCAGTTCACCCCGTATTCTGTTTTCATGTGGGGTTATGCTCTACTGCTAGCTGGCTTGGGCCATGCCTGTGGCCTCTGAAGTACCGTGGGTACTACCACTGTAGGGTTCAGATGCTGGCTCTTTAGCTCTGACAGCGTGGTGAGGTTCTCCACGGTTAGCTAACAAATCAGCAATTCAGCCTTAAGATTGTTCAGAAATATTCTCATTAAAATCCCTGAGATCAGTAGTTCCTTCTCGTATAAAGATTTATGTAGAGTTCATGCAAAATTGCTAGTCCGTGGTAGAAGTGGTTGTCACCCCAAACATGGAAAAGTAAACTGGAAAAAGGAAACTTAAAAATCCAGGTCAAATACACCTTTGTCATTTGAGTCCCTGAAATGCCCAAGTGATCTATACGAATGGGGAGCTTCTGGGGTTGTCTTTCTGCTGTCCAGAAGACACTGAGTCTGCTTTGCAGATGGAGACCTTCCTTTGTCCCACAGAGGAGCTGTGAGAGTTCAGCTTCCCTCCTAGCAATCAGGAGAGACAGAGGCAGGTGGATCTCTGTGAGTTTGAGGCCAGCCTGGTCTACAGAGTGAGTTTCAGGACAGCTGGAGCTGTTACACTGTTACACAGAGAAACAAAGCCATCCCAAAGCCGTGGAACCCTCCCCTCACACACACCCATCAGCGTTACACTTTCACTGACTGTCAGCTACCTTTTTACAGACTTTGCTTAGCAAAAGAGAAGGAACTCTGACAGAGTTGAAACTAGAAGAACAATTAGTTTTGTAGCCTCTTTTACAGCTTGTCCTTTTGCCTGAGTACCCCACCTCAGCAGTGTGTTGTAAATGTCAGCTGCTCCAAAGAGGCACACTGACTCCAACAGCCACAGCCAGTTTTTTGAGAGTTTTTGAGAGATGGACAACGATGTCATTCATAGGAGGATGAGCCAGGAAGTCCAGAGATCCCCTGAATCCCTGGGACCATGTCTCAGCTCTCTCCTGGTACCTAAGAAAAACTGAAATAGTCACCAGGTGGCCTAAGGCAAAAAAAAAAGCTCTGTTTGATCTCCAGTAGGTACCCCATGAGGATGGTACCTCCTCCCCATGACTTCCCCTGCTTTTTCCTGGCCACTGCTGGTGGCTTCTGTGGCAGGAAGGGAACAGCCTCTCCACCCATTCTGTTGCTTCCGTTTCCTGGAGTGCCATCAGAGGTTCACAGATCTTTTGTAGATCATCACTTGATCTTTATTTTTTGTGGTTAAAAAACGTTGTTAACACCAAATTGTCTGCTTCAACAGTTTTTGAGTGTGCAGTTCAGGCAGTGGCTACTTCTCACTTCATTCTGCAGCTGTCAATCTTCAGAGCTTCCTTAGCGTCCCAGGCTGACACCGTCCCCAGTGAACACTCGCTCCCTAACTGCCCTCTTCCCTGAGACTCCCTTCCCACTCTCTCTGGAATTTTTTTTTTTTAAAAAATACTTGGGGGCCTCTTATAGTGGGATGATGCAGTGGTCATCTGTCTGTGCCTACTTTATTTCACTTCCAATGTCCTCGGTGTTCATCTGTGTTGTAGCAGTGTTTGAGAAATTGCCCTTCTTTCGTGCTGAGTAATACTCCATCTTGTGTAAGGAGTAAGTTTTCCCCGCCGCCGGTCTTATCCCACAGCCATGCCAGCCCCAAATAACACACCGAGACTCTGTATTAGATATAGTGCTGTTGGCCAGGTACTAGTTTCTTATCGGCTAGCTCTGTCTTAATTATTAACCCATTTCTATGTATTTCCACATGGTCTTACCGGAGAGCGGGGGCCGGTGATTCTGTTCTCTCCCATCTCTCCATCTTGACTCCTCCTTACTACTTCCTCTTTCCTCCTTGTCTCCTAGTCCCTCCTATCTTCCTTTCCTATTGGCCAACAGTGCTTTAGTCATTAACCAGTATGAGAAACATATTTACAGAATGTTCTCTCCCATCAATCTTGTGCATCTGTTCTTCTGGTGGTGAACTTTTGAAATGTTTTGTGTGTGTGTGTGTGTGTGTGTGTGTGTGTTTAATTAATGCTGCTGTAATTGTGGGTGTATAACTATTTCTACTTGAATTCTCTTATGTATACCTTTTTGGATTTGCTGAATCAAATGGTAAACATATATGTAGTGATTGCATGATTTTCCATCTTTACCAACAGTGTACAGGAGCTCAAGTTCTCCATCTTTGGCAACATTTATTGTTTTAAAACAACAACAACAAACAAGAAACAGTCAATGAATATAGAGTGGTCTTGACTTTTAGCCTTTGCTAAACTTGTATGTGTATAGTGTGTCTACATGCTCATGGGGCCCATTGGCATGCTCACCTGTGACGTCAGAGTTCCATGATCCTTTGAAGAAAGTATCCGGTTCTGTGTCTTGCCCACCCAGGGGCTCATGCATGGCCCTGATAGTAAAAAGCTATGCCGTGAGGCCCATCTCTTGCTGGGCCTCCTCCCAGCCATTTATCCTTGGGCATAGCATGGAGATATAACATAAATTCAACCTGCCAGCAATTGTCATTCTTTCTTCAAGCATCAGTGGCTGGTGGGTGAGCCTGCTGGCCACTAAGTTTGAACTGCGCCAGTTTCCTATCCTAGAATGGCTAAGGGCAAGCATGGATTCCTTGTCTGCAGTACTAGCGCAGCCCATCAAATAGACCACTGGGCTTTGTGAATTTTGCATAGAGGACCTGCTGAAAAAGAGGGCTAATTACTCCTGAGTAGCAGCAAGTCCCTAGGGATGGGAAAAAAGCAGAGGCAGGCTTTGAAGGTCCTGTTGTAGGTGTGGACTTAACTGCTTCAGGGTGAGTCCTGAGGCGTAGCTTGATCCTGCCCAGGCAAGCAGGCTTTAGAAGGATGCTGGGACTTTTGAGAACATCTTTCAGGGAATGGCTAGCCGGAGGACAAAGGTCAGTTCAAGGACACTGGAAGTGGAAGTGACCGGGGTCCAGGGTAAGCGTCGTCTTTACTTCCTCCTGAGTACACTGCACCTTTAGTGCCACAGAAAGACCAGTCCATGCATCAAGGCCCTGCCACCCATAACTCAGCTTCAGCGCTCTATCTGTAGAAGCCCTTCCTGGCCCTGTCTCAAGTGTGCAAATATATCACAGTATTCACATGCACACTCATATATACACATATGTCACGTATCACACATGGATGTACATACACTTCACATTCCTATTCACTGTTAACCCACAACTTTCACACATGCACATACTTCTTCACACACACCTAAAATTGTGTCTTCCAGCTCATGAGCTCATGAAGACGCTTTTTCTTTATAGAAGGTAGCACAGTTTGCAGTCATGTGCTGACCTCCGTACTGGCCCTCCTTACCGGTGTCATTTAAAGAGTCACATGCCCATACATAGGACATAGGCTGCCTGGCACATTAGTCAGCATTAAGTAAACATTGAATCAGTTGATACCTCCATTCAGTACCCTTCCTGTTGGCTTTCATTAGGTGGACAGGATGACGATTTTACAAAAAATACTAGCACATATACCCCAAAATATACTCAAGTCAGTAAGGAACTGAACTCATCACAGAATTTAGACTTTTCTCATTGAAATCCATGCTTGAACCACCGCGGAGCCTTCTCTGGGACATAGCAAGCTGTTTAAAACACACCCAAGCTATCCAGTGCCTTGACGGTATCTGTTGTTTAAAAGGAGTTTAAGTTCCAATAGAGATCAAAAGAAACGGTTCCAGTTTTGCTGCCTCCGTGGAAGCCATTCTGAAGAATACCCAGTTTGTCAGAAATAATTTGGGGAAATGGATATCTCAGGGTTCTTGCTCCTCAAGGTTGACCCCGCTATCGTTCTCTCTGTCTTGAGTTCCTATTTGTCAGAGAGTACATTTATCCCCCGAATCCGTGTGAAGCAGGATTTCATTAGAGTTTGATTGCGAACTGGAAAGCCTGGGGCTGCTGGTCGGTCTGAGGATTGCGCTGCTCTGGGTGGAACACAGCGCTTGTTGAAGCAGACCCTGGTCTCCGAGGTGCCTACCCTGCTGGTAACTCCCGTTTGCTTCCTCCCCAGCCCAGTGACTTCTCTGTGTCTCTCAAAGCGTCAGGGAGAAACAAGCACTTCAAGGTGCAACTGGTGGACAGCGTCTACTGCATCGGGCAGCGGCGGTTCCATAGCATGGACGAGCTCGTGGAGCACTACAAGAAAGCCCCCATCTTCACCAGCGAGCACGGGGAGAAGCTCTACCTCGTCCGGGCCCTGCAGTGAAGGCAGCCATCGGCCTCTCCATGCCCTGTCCGCGGGGGGCCTCGCTGCCACCTCCGCCTCCCAGAGTCCAGCGCTGCCAGCCACCTCCACCCACGAGGCCTGGATCGCCTCCGTGGCCCAGTCTGTCCTCTGCAGCCCTGTCGGTTGACCGTAGCTACCCAGGCCCTCATAGCCACCATGCCCACGGCCACCACCTTCTGGCCACCTTCAGATGGTGAGAGGTCAAATTTGAGGGAGCAAAGCTGCTCATTTTTTCCCTTTATAATTGGAAGCAGTCTGTTTAAAACCTACACACACACACACACACACACACACACACACACACACACACACACACACACGCAGTAAAAGGCTGGGGCTTATTCGGAGGGCAGAAAGTCTGTTATGTAGTGAATAGCGCACGCTCCGAGAGCTGTGTCCAGGGGTGCTTGGTACCTCCCATCAGCCATGCTGGTCCAGGGCCTGCTTTTTTGCTTTTTTTTTTTTTTTTTTTTTTTTTTTTTTTTGGTGGGCTCCGGTCTCTGCAGGAGTCCAAGAATGTGGTGCAGATAGCAATACTGGAAACCCTGGGGAGGTGGTGAGGGAACTGTCCAGTGCCTTTGAGGCTGTGCTTGCAATAAAAGAAGGTTTTTTTGTTTTTGTTTTTTTTTTCTAAGTCTGCAAAAGAGGCGACTGCAGAAAGAGAGAAACTTGGGTAATGTACCCCCAGATGTGCCATCCGCATAGTGCTCTTTTGCCCTCGGGCTTGTTTGACTTTCACAATTATGTATTTAATTCTCAAAGTAATATGTATCTGTAGCCGTTTGTTGACACTAATAACAGATGATTAAGGAAAACAGCTGATCTCGGGACGGGGAGCTACCAATACTTTATACATACACACTATATATATATATATATATAATATATATATATTATAATTTGCTTTACAGGGAAATTTTTCAGGGTTTACAAAAGAGTATGTGATTGGTAGTAACAGAATGTTTATGAAGAAATTGCATTTTCTTTTTTTTTTTTTTCCTTTACATTTGAACTTCTTTATAGTTTGACTATAGTCTTGAGATGGCACATTCCTACGATTGAAGAAGGGGTCTTGAGATCCCCTAAACTTGCATACCCAGTTTTTTTGAATATTGTAATAAAAAAAAATGACGAAGCTGTGTGTTTGTGTTTTGGAAAACCTGACTCTTTTCTGGGGGAGGGACAGCTGCAGCGGTCACAGGAAACCCATCACAAAAGCAAGATAGCTTTTTGGGTAACAGTGCAGAGTGCCTTCTGCTCAAGCTGAGTTCAGACCCTCAGCACCCACAGAAAATCAAGTGTTGATCACATGCGTCTAACCCTAGCCCCAGAAGCTCCCTGCTTAGACACGTGCACTGGCCTCAGTGAGGAACCCTGTCTCAAACAATAAAATAGTGGATGGCCATGATGGCCTCCTCGTGGTGTGGACATATATACATATTCACAATCACACAAATGAGATTGAGAGCAATCAGAACCTCAGGTGGCGCTAATAGACAGAAATGCCCCCGTTGAGTTAAACCATTACATCATCAGTAGAACTCTCAAATCTCTCTTAGATTATTTGGATCCAGGATTTTTGCCTGAACACCCACTGAAAATTTACAGCAACTTCCTACCTATTTGAAACATTTTCTTTTCAGTTTCCAACACCCACCGAACATCAGTCCAGGCGAGGGGCAGGATCCATTTCTACTTACTCAGCATTGTCCTTCCTCAGCCACAGGCACACTAGCCACAACCCTGGGGATTCCTTCCTGTGAACAGACTTGAACAAAGGCTGCTCTCATAGTTCTTTCTCACTGTCCCTAGAAGTCCCCTGGCTGAGTCCCTTGGCTAGGACCTAAGTCACAGTTAAATAGAGAGACACAAAAGAGCTACTGTGTGAGCTGTAACTCAGTAGGAGGCAGTGGGAACCAAGGCTGACTCACCAAGTTCATCTGCCTAGTCTTCTTGGGCCCTGATTGGGTGGGGCTTTCTGAGTGCCATGGGGTGGAGCTTCCTCATTGCTGATGGGGGGGGGGAGTAGTGGGGTGTTTGTGTGTGTGTGTGTGTGTGTGTGTGTGTGTGTGTGTGTGTGTGTGTGTGTGTGTGAGCTCCACTACCCTGCTCCTAACACTGAGTCTTGACTTCTGCCTACTGTACCAGCTTTTATTTCTAGCCACCTTGCCTCTTTCTACCTATGCAAGGTCCCTAAGGCCAAGCCCTACACACTGTAGCTATCCATAACAGTTCTTGAGCCAGTGTGATCAGAATAGAGTCGGTCCTATACAGAGTTTAGAGTTGGAATTATTAGAGACTTTGGGCTATTGGCCAATTCCAATAATTAGTGCATCATGAAAAGTCACTGAAGAGGGTCACTGAGCTCCAGGGATCTTCCTGCCTCCAGGCCCACAGTGCTAGGATTACAGGCGCAAACTGCCAAGCATGACTTTGAAGTCAGTGTTGGAGATCTGACCTCAAGAGCACACATGCACAATCAGCCCCTTGGTGACTGAGCCATCTCTCCAACCCATTTTTAACATGTTTGTAAAGCAAATGCCCACAAAAATACCACCCAGGTCAGGAAAAAGACTGCAGACACATGTCCAGCTGTTCCCCATGGACCGTGTATAGCCACATGAGGCTGAGGATAGCTATGTGCAGCTCAAGACAAAGTCATACATTTGCTTAACAACACTAAGTGAGATTCCTCAGGGTCCCTTGTTCTGTTGTTTTTGCTAACTTTATTGCATACATTTGTTTCGTATTGTTTTTCAAGGTTTTCTTTATGTAGCCCTGGCTATCCTGGAGCTCACTCTGTAGACCGGGCTGGCCTCACTCTGTAGACCAAGCTGGACTTGAACTCACAGAGATCCACCTATCTCTGCCTTCTGAGCCCTGAGATTAAAGGTGTGCGCCAACGGCTGCTAACAGCTGCTGCTATCACCACTACCTGGAACACACACTATTTTAAGTAACAATGGCATGTTGCAGTGTCGAAAGGTTGGACACATCTGAGAGCATTAATGGGCCCCCAGAACCCATTACCTATAAATCTCTTCCTCTTTGAAGCAGTTCTTGCCTGCAGAGGGGACCATTGATTTAGAAACAGATTGTTCTCGACTTCATTCACCATTTGAACTCTAGTGGAAGCATCCTTGGGCAGCATAGTTTGGTTCTGCCTGCATTAAAATTCTACTTAAGATGAAATCACACTGGACTAATTTGTACTCAGCTCCCCCTCCATATTCTATTAATAAAAGTAAAATGAAATGCTTGTGACTCTAGTTCACCCATTTTTTATTACCAAGTAATGACTCTATTGTGTTAACAGATAAAAATACATTTATTCATTCTCTACACGTCTTTTCTGACTACTACAAGTAAATAGTGTTATACAAATTTTAATGAACGTCCCAACGCCCAAGAAGTTACCTTATTTAAAAGGAAAAGGAAAAAAAAAGTACGGGAAAAGAAAAAGATTAAAAAGGGAAAGTGGGCAATGCTTGGTTTATTGTCACTTCAAGTTTTAGTTCAGACACAGAAAGGGGCACTCTAAGTGACCTTACTTTCACTCCCATGCTCTGCAGACCAGTGGCCCTGGGTCTACACCAGAGCCCCCATAACATAGATTAATCAAGATGCCGATCCCCACCCCTGGAGTTTCTGGCTGGAGCCTGGGAAATCTCACTTCTAGTAGAAACTGAATTTAGAGGATTGGCTGCTATACACAGCCTTTGGCAGCAGCAGACAAACTTTTTGAGCTTGAAGCATCAAATAACCAATAACCGAATGCTTGCTTTTGAATCAGAAAAAAAAAAATCTCTTTTCAAGACTCCTGACCTGGAAGCTTGCTGGGATCAAGCAATGTTCTTCTTGTCTGTATAAAATGCAACTGTAGCCGAGCTAAGCCGGATTTCACTGAGACAACAAGTGTCCTACTGCACTCTATTTCTGAAGCTGTACTATATCATCTCAAAGGGTAATGCAAAAAAAAAAAAAAAAAAAAAAAAAAAAAAGAGCTCATTGCGCTCATTTACCTTTGAGATATCAGTAAGCATGGTGTTTCCAGCTCTACATATTACAGGAAAAGCCACTACTGCAATCCAGACTCCTTGTTTTAGAAATTTGACTTGAGAGATTTTAGCAAGAGACGTTTGCAATCATTTGCACTAAACTCATTAATTCTAATAATTTCTATTGCAGATTCAGATTTTTCTCTCTATTATATAGTTGCATATTCTGATAAATAAGTGACATTATTAGGCCTAGGGACTCTTTGAGAGGTGCTCCACCCCCCAAAAAAAAAAAAAAAACGGACAAGAAAAACTGCTTTTCTTGCTGGGAATTCCCCCAGGCCCTTCCAAACTCCCACTGTAAACACCCCCATCATGAAATTCATATTTTCCCCTCTATAGGAGCATCACCAACTGACTGTCCACAGGCTCTGCGATTTACCTAGTTAGAAATTATGGGTAGATAAGGACCTTAAGATGCCAGCTGCTAGGAGTGTTCAGGTGCTTAGCAGCACTGAGCAGTGACAACAGAAGAAATAGAAAGCATTCTTTAAATAGGACAGTCCCTCAGAAAAGTCCCTCTGCCCTACAAGAATTGTAGTTCCCCATACGAGCTGAGTCTCCAAGCCCTGAAGACTTAGCACATGCCCAGAGCTCTTCTGGTGACCAAGGGCTAGCAGGACCTCATCCTTATCAACCCAGCCTTCCTTGAACCTCCACTCCACCACCATCATCATCATAATCATCATCGTCCTCATCATTGCCTCTCCTTCCTGCCCCTGCCCCAGCCACTCTCAAAATATTTAGCTGTCCTTTCTACGTCAGTGGGCATCCATCTGTCAAGGCAGCCCTTGGAAGTTCTAGCTCCGCTCCCAGATGGTCCTGTGGAATCTGGGCACCAGGCATGGCTAGGATCGTTCAGGGATAGGAGCTTCCTCTAACAGGGATGGTATTGTAAAGGATGGTGGGGTCTTCAGGCAGGATCAGTAGGTGGTCCATGGCTGTGGTGCCATACTGGCAATTCAAGGCATGTTCAAATCTAAGGGGACAGCTAGTAGACAGTGGAGGTCACAGGAGGCCATACAAGGCCTCCACGGTACTTCATGAGTAATAAAGAGTTGAGGGTGTTTTGTCCTATGAAGCTACCCCACTCATGGGAACTGGGTACCAGATATTAGAAATTAGAGACTAACAGTGAGGCCTTTGGACCTCTTCCACCTGTCAAGTTGTGGTGAAAGCTTTTGTGATGGGAAGTCCAAGGCTCAAGAACACACGACAGGGT